CCCCCCCCCCCCACCCCCCCTGCGGTTTCACAGGGTCTCGCAGGGTTAGTTTTGCAGTTTGTGTTTTTTCGTGTTCATTATTCGGGCCCTCGTGTAGTCGTCGAAACCCAGCAGCCGCAATGCCCGACACCTCAAACTTCAAGACCTATGATGCCACAAAGTCCCAAACCTCGAGACCTTAAGTCCTAAAGCCTCCAAACCAGGACCCTAAATAATTACATGTACTATTTTGGGGGTTCCTCACTGCAATCATAGCATAATGGGCCCCAAACCCCTATTCTAATTATCAAAGGCCCCTATATTAAGCCTCCGAAATCGAAACCTGTAGACTTCTGCAGGTTTCGCCCTCCGACATCTTCGTCGCCGAGGGTGCGGCGACGCTGCTCCGGGGGGTCTTGTCACAGGCAGGGTTTAGGCTTTAGGGTTTCGTTTTCGGGTTCGGGGATGTTCAGGGCTTCGGGCCAAGGGATGTTCAGGGTTTCAGCTGTGGGGTTTAGGGTTCAATAGGGGCTTCAATTTAATTTCTGCTTTCGGTGCAGGGTACGGGATTGATGGGGGAACCTTTGTGTGACTTAATGGTTTCAGGGCTCAGGGTTTTGAGAGGCAAAAACGTAGTTGGGCTGAGGGTCTGGGGTTTAGGCTCAAACCTGCAATGGGTTTTACATGGGATTAGGGTTCAGAAACCCCCACGCAGCATGGCGAGTTGCCAGTGCATAGGATGAGCTAAGGGTCTGCAGTGGGAGTCCGAGGTACGCAGGAGCTGGGTGCCCCACAATTGCACTGTGGGGTGTTGTGTTCGGAGGATCGGGAAGGACTAGTTTTGGAACCCCATGTGCGGTGACAAGAGGTGGGGGGTGTTGTTGAAGGCATGTGAACGAACCGTTCTTGTGGAGACTTGCAAAAGGACGGCAGATTGACGGGAACTGGGGAGGCTGCCATGAAAATCCGCTAAACCCTAATCCCCAAACCCTAAACCCTACACACGAAGCTGAGCAGCCCCAATCCCAGGCGCGCCAATGGCCCTGAGGCGTAGTACGTAGGAAATCAGTGGAGGTCCAAGTCTATATTTTTTGATTACTATTACTATAGGGGCCTAAACAATTACCTATACTATGTCGGAGGGCTCCTTATTGTAATTGTAGTTTCATATACCCCAAGACCTTATTCTAGTATTATAAGGCCTTGATATTATTCGGACCCACCCTTAGACCCTACCTGGACCCTAAATAGGGTCCAGGTCCACCCTCAACGAATCTTAGGGCGACTCCCCGATAACCCCCTAACCCTAGACCCTAAACCGAGTCGAATCCGGACTGGTGATGAGTGCAGGTGGCCGCTGGCACGGAGAAATCCGAGGTCCGGAGAATTTAAGGTATTTCGGGCTTGGGGCTTAGAAGTTTTTTGCTTAGGGTTTCTGGTGTATAGGATGAAGTAGGGTTCAGGGCTTTGAGCCTAAACCCTAAACCCTACACCGTTCTCTTCCTCTGGTGTGTTGAGGGCGTAGGTTTCGGCTGCAGGGTGCGGGTTTCAGTCTGTTCCGATCTGCGCAGCCTGTTGTTGGTAGGGTTTAGGGTTTATGGGTTTAGGGTTTAGAGGTTTAGGGCTTTAGGGTTTAGGGATTTAGGGTTTAGGGTTTAGGGTTTAGGGTCAGCTTCGTCAGAAGCTAAACAGATCGAAAGGACCCCGACCCTAAGGCCCTCGCCCTCCCGCCTTGGAGAAGACAAGTGCACAGCGAACCCGACTTGTCAGAGTCCCTCCTGTAAAGCCTTTAGGGTTTAGGGCTTAGGGCTTAGTGTAGGGGCCTTATAGTTACCTACACTATTTTTTTTTTTGGGGGGGGNNTCCTTATCATAATTATAGTATGATATACCACCCAAATCCCTATTCTAATTCCTCAGGCCGCCCCTACATTACCCACGCGACCGTTTTCAGTTCTTAACGTCCCAAACCCTGAACATCCCTGAACCCCTCAATTCCGTGAACCCCTAAATCTATTCCATTTTCAGGGGGGTAGTTACCATTATAGGAGCCTTATAGAAGCCCTAAAAACCCTAAACTCCCCACCTGTAGTTTCCTTTACCTAAACGCCTGCCCTAAACCCCTGAACCCTAAACCCTAAACCCCAAACCCCTAAACCCTAAACCCTAAACCCTAAACCCTAAACCCTAAACCCTAAACCCCTAAACCCTAAACCCTAAACCCTGAAGCATCCGAAATTCTGGGGCCCCCAGGCCGGGAAGGGCTGGTCAAGGGCTGGCAGAAAGGAATTGGTGTTTAGGGCCATAAGGGGGTTTCCGATTATTAGGGGTACCTTATTTTGGGGTCCTTATAATAGGGATCCTACTATTTAGGGTACTATATTAGGGTAAAAAACAAAGGGAAAAACCCTAAACCTTAAACCCTAAACGGTTTTAGGGTTTACGGTTTGGGATTTAGGCTCAACCCTACAAAACGGACTGTTGTGAGGTGGAGTTGTTCAGGTATCCTTTAAAGGGCTGCTATCAGGGTTATGACATTTAGTGTAGGGGCCTGAATAATTAGAACAGGGTTTTGGGGGTATGTTATACTATAACTATAATAAGGAGACCCCCCCCAAGAAAGTATTGGTCATTCTTTTGGCCCCTAGGTTCAAGCTTCAGCCGTAGCTTCTGTAAGCGTTCTGGGCGTGGAGGTTAAGGGCCCTTGGGTCTCAAGGTCTTTAGAGCTTTGGGCGTTTGAGGTTGAAGGGGTTTTTGCGGCTACCAGGATTAGGGTTTAGGGTTTTAGGNNGGGCCCCCCCCCCCCCCCTAGTAGCCTTCAGGAGAGTCCTGATGGTCCTGAATGGGGTGTTTTTGGGGTATACTTGTACAATAGAGGGCAGCCGGGGGCTCTAGATAGGGCTCAGACTGTGGTGTCGAATGCATGGCGGGAGGTACTTCTGGTGGGGCCTTGCCCGGAGCTTTGGCAGGAGCTTGCAGGGCACAGCTAACAATCTGGTCGGTTTTGACGGTAGATTTCAGCAGAATGTCTTCACGCACCTATGTGCGTCTGCATGTAACCGGCACAGTGGATGTATGCACAGGCACGTCTACTTGGTTTTTGCATGTTTGCATGCATGCAAGCACATGCACGCAAGTACAGATCGACAAGTGCACATTCTTAACCCCGGACACTTGCAAATGGTCCGAAATCCCGGAGATATGGAGTGAGATCCGGCTTTTGCTAGAGTTCAATGTTCGGATGCGTTTAGGGCCTAGGATATCTTTACTTCTAAAATCCCTAAACCCTAACCCCCTNNCCTAAACCCCTAAACCCCTAAACATGGGAAGTCTGGAGTTTGGGAGGGCAACTCCCATCTTCAAAGGCTCAGTTCTTAGGGTTCTAGCACAGGAGCCCTTAGTCACTGGCAGTAATGCAGGAGCCCTAATAATTAGAATAGGGTTTGGGGGATTCCTTATTGCAATTGCACAACATACCACCCCCTCCAAAAAAACTATATATATATATATATATATGTATGTATATATATATATATATATTCTAAATGTTGAGGCCGCTATATTATGTATAGTCTCCTGCAATCACCAAGAAAATATGTGTAGTAGCACTGTATCTGCCTAATGAACAGGTAGATGAAATTTAGAGTCTAAGGGTGATTAAAGAGTTGCCCGTTTCTAGCTTGTTCTTGGCTTTGGTTGGCGGTTTCGGTCGCCGGGACGTTTGAGGTGGAGAGTGTTAGTCGTGCCGTCATGACGTATTGACGTATTCTAGGCATAGCAGATCAGGAGTAGGGGTTTTGGAACTTTCAATGTTGACTCTGTTGACCCTAAACTCTAGACCCTAAACCGTATTCTCCTTGCTTTCCTTCCGTTGTTTCCCCGCGTTTTGCATGGGCAGTGCATGTTCTGACGTCTTCCCGGGGCCTTGAGGTCGGGTCCGTTGCCGGAGGTCGCATGAACGCTTAGAGCAGCTCAGGCTTCAGCCTGAGACCCAAACCTTGCGACCTTCAACACGTATAGATGAATAGAGGGGTCTAAAAACTTGCCTATACTATTCTGGGGGTTCCTTATAATAACTATAGTATAATATGGGCCCCGCAAAGCCCTATTCTAATTACTGAGGCCCCTATATTATAGGTAATTACTACGTCATCACACTACAATAAGCCCAAACCTTACATAAATCCCAAGCCCGGGTTCCTTCAGTCAGTGCCCGGGCGGCGAGTTTTGGATTCTTGGCGCTTTGGAGCTCGGAGGGGGTTGGGTTTACTGTGAGGGGCTGCCTGGACCTTTAAAGAACCTATCTTTTTAGGGCTCCTTATCATGATTTCACTAAATCACCCTTAAAGAACCTACCTGTTTAGGGCTCCTTCTCATGATTTCCTTATGTAAGTTTTCAATCAGGTAGGTTATTTAGGGTCCAGGAGAGGGTTGAAGGTCTGGCTCCATACGGTGCATTTGGGTATAGGGTGTCAAAGAGGGTTGCGGGTTCAGGGTGTTTGGGTTCGGCAAGGTAAGGCCTACTTCGCACCTTCTGGGAGCCAGCTCCGCAGAGAGCTTCTGAGTTCTTTCTGCTTAGAACCTGGTGTTTGTTGTAACCCCTGTTTTCGGGGCCCTAACCCTATAAGATACGTCATCCAGCGAAAGGTGCTCCAATTCAGGGTCTACCTGGACCCTAAATAACCTACTTTTCCGAAGATTTGTATAAACAAATCATAGCAAGGAAGCCTAAGAAGGTAGGTTCTTCAGGGTCCAGGAAGGTGAGCATCTTCTGTCTTCATACCCCCTTGTGGAGGAGGCGCTCTCATTTGCCGATGCCTGGTCCTTGGCAGGATTTAGGGTTTCAGAGTTTATGCACAGAAGCCCGAAAGCCCGAACCCTGAACCCTGAAAGCCTACACCCTAAACCCAGTAGATAGAGTTTTGCGGCTGAAGAGCTTGATGCGTTTTGTTTTCATTTCTTTAGCTTTCGGTGACGGATTCACTTCCCTAAGCCCTAAACCCTAAGCCCCTCAAGCCTAAACCCTCAAACGGTTCTGAAGAACACTGGGCGTGCTAAACCCCCCTCAAACCCCGAAGCTGCGGGCTTCTTGCTCTGCATTAGAGAGCACTCCTCGAGTCATAAAGGCTTTCGATATATGCTTCAAGGAGGGTTTAGGGTTTAGGGGCAAGGATGGAGTTTCCAATCAGGCTTTCTTTTGTTGGAGGCGGGTCTTGTATGTCACATATATCATAAAGTTTCTTTTTATAAAGCTCCCGAATGCTCCATAGTTTTCATGGATCAGGAACCTGGAACCCTTAGCTGAAGCCCGAAGTTCGCGTCGATAACCTCAAGCCGCTGCCCTGGAGACGCAGCATCCGAATTGCCAAAACCCGGAAACCCCAAGCCCTACCGAAGCCGCGAGGCATGGAAGCCGAAACTCAGCGATAGTGCCAGGCAAAAGCCCAGAGGCCTTCGACGCAGCCTCCCGAACCGGAGCCCTAAACCCTATAAACCTTAAACCCTAAACCCTATAACCATAAACCCTACATCTTAAATCCTGAACTCTAAACCCTAAACCTCGTGTAAGGCGCGCAGCTTCTATCCGCCGGTGGGCCAGGGCGACTTCGCGGTGCCTCCGACCTCCAAAGTCCAAATCACTTCCCCTGAGAGCCCCAAGAGCTTTTGAAGTAACAATTATAGACGCCGAAATACTTACCAACATTATTCCTAGTAATATAGAAGCCTAAATAGTCACCAACATTATATGTATTCCTTGGGTTTCCTTACTATCAGTGTATTCGACTTATTAAGGCCCCTACTGTAGCGAGACCCACCTTCCGATCACTAGGGGCCTTCTGTGTCAAGCTCAATGAAGGGGCCCTGAAGCGAGTTGGGTTTTAGGGTTTAGGGGTCTAGTACATCTAGGGTGTAGGGGTTTAGGTTTAGGGCCCCAAATTAGCATTGATGCCATGGGCCAAGACACACACGACATACGTTCAGGTTCATGGTGTTTTGTCTGCAGATCACTCTTTGCAAGGTTCAGTATTGGTAGCTCAAGGCCGCAAGGTGTAAAACAAAACCTTAAGCCCCTAATCCCTAAACCCTAATCCCTATAAGCCCTATACCCCAAAAACCCTAAACACTGAGCCCAACATGCCAAGCAATGTTCCGATACCCTTTCGGTGGTTGTTGTCAAGCTCTTGAAAGCCATCCGTAGCTTTCAGCGATATGCACAGGATGAAGCACGAGAGCAAGCTGGAAAGCCGCAAGATTCAGCATCGAAGGACTACCAGACTACCATCTGATGCATCTACTCCTAAACCTTCAACTGGCGACTGCTTTGTTACAAGGGTGTGTTGGTACTTTTCAGTTGTCCCCTACTTGATGCTCAGACTGGCTTAGACTTTGTGGAGAGTCTCGGGCTGTTGGTTTGAATTGAGGTTGTTAGGGTTTAGGGTTTAGCTTCGGGGGGTTTGCCTCTAACACTGTTTGGTGGGTTAGGGTTTAGGGTTTACCGGTTTTTGCAGCAGTGGTTGTCAAGGCTATGAGTGTGTCGGCCAGGTACTTGCAGAAGACGTTGCGCGGCACGTCTCAGCGCAGACGAGCATCGTTGCTGGCAAGAAATCAGCCCAGTGATTACATTGAAGGTGTTGCCCTGAGTCAGCGCTAAATCCTGTGAGTACTTATGTGGTGTGGTCAGAGGCCTGATTGAGGAGGGTTGTATGAACTGTGCATTGCGACAGTGGGTCCATTACGGCGTAGTACAGCACCCTAAGCTAGCAGAATCAGCCTTGAACCCGGGACGTGAACCCTCTGAGCCGCGATCGCCCCCAAGAAAGAAAGACCCTGATCAAATACAGATTTTAGCAGTTTAGCAGTCGTAGTAAAAAGCTGACAGACCGTTGTTTTTCCTTTTAGCAAATACAAATGAGCTTGGTTAGCTCGGTTGTGCTTCCGGGCCTGGCTTGGACCCGAGATGCCTGAGGCCACACTTCGGCGATTTGAAGCCCTCGAAAAGACTACTAACATGGATCCTGTTGGCCTTCTGTTTCTCCTGGCCTCAATGGTTCAAGATGACTGCAGGAAGCACCACCCAAGGTTCTGCTGCCGCTCTACAGCCTTACGACTGGCGTACCGTGCCTTCGTTGCACTTCCGGTTGTCAGACTCGTTGGTGACCCTGGTTAGGATAGCGATAGTGGTAGTGGTGGTGGTGGTGGTGGTGACGATGACGATGGCAATGACCATGAGAATGATTGTGTTGGTATGCATCCGGCCACATTGGTCGCAGCTGTAAGGCTTGAGGTAATGATCATGTTTGAAGTCAAGCAGAGCGACGAAGGTTCCCGAGACGGAGGAAGTTGTCGGGCTGGTGTCTTTGTTGGTGATGGTTGTCGCGATAGCCGCTGTGTAGCTGTTAATGTCACATCATATGATTCATATGTTGTTTGTTGTTTGTTTTGGTGGTTGTTGGTTGTTGTTTGTT